TAACCTGCCCTGACCTGTCCTAACCTGCCTGACCTGCCCTAACCTGCCCTAACCTGCCCTAACCTGTCCTGACCTACCCTAACCTGCCCTGACCTACCCTAACCTGTCCTGACCTGCCCTGACCTGCCCTAACCTGCCTGACCTGCCCTAACCTGCCCTAACCTGCCCTAACCTGCCCTAACCTGCCCTAACCTGCCCTAACCTGCCCTAACCTGCCCTGACCTGTCCTGACCTACCCTAACCTGCCCTGACCTGCCCTAAACTGCGTGTGCTTCCCCGCAGCCCAGCGACTTCTCCGTGTCCCTCAAGGCGTCAGGGAAGAACAAGCACTTCAAGGTGCAGCTGGTGGACAACGTGTACTGTATCGGGCAGCGGCGCTTCCACAGCATGGACGAGCTGGTGGAGCACTACAAGAAGGCGCCCATCTTCACCAGCGAGCACGGCGAGAAGCTCTACCTGGTCCGCGCGCTGCAGTGACGGTGACGCGGTCTGACCTTCTGCCCGCCCCAGGCCTCGCAGCTGGGGGGAGCCGGGCCGGGGCGACCCCAGGGCCTCGGGCTGCCCCTCCGGGCTCCCGGCCCTGCAGCAGGGCGGGGTGATAGCAGTACCGGAACCGGGCAGCCCGGCCTGCAGCGGGGAGCGGCCAGTGCCTTTGCGGCTGCGTCACGGTGCGCCTGAGAGGCAGTGCGCACGCGCGGGAAGGTGAGAAGGCGGACCGCCTTCGGGGGCTGACCCCAGACGTGCCGTCGCAGTGCGTCCTCCTCGCCCTTCGGCTTGTTTGAATTTCACGGTTATGTATTTAATTCTCAAAGTGATATGTATCTGTAGCCGTTTGTTGACACTAATAGCAGATGATTAAGGAAGAGAGCTGATCTTTGGGAAGGACAGCTGTCCGTACTTTATACACACACTATACATATATATATAATATGTGTATATTATATATATATATTATTTGCTTTACAGGGAAGTTTTTTCAGGGTTTACAAAAGAATATGTGATGGTAGGGAGAGACACACAGAATGTTTATGAAGAAATTGCGTTTTCCTTTTCTTTACATTTGGACTTCTTTATAGTTGAATACACAGTCTTGAGGTGGCACATTCCTACGATCGAAGCAGGGGTCTTGTGATCCCCTAATCTTGCATACCCGGTTTTTTGGATATTGTAATAAAAAAAAGTATTACGACAAGACTGCGTGTTTCTCGGCAGGGAGAGTGGACTCGGTCCTGGGTGAGCAGTGAGGGCTGCATTTTCTGAAAACTCGGGGCCAAGAGGGTTCCGGGAGCACCCCTGTCGTTCTCGTGTTCTCTGCCCTGAGCTTCGGCTCTGCATGTGGAAACATAAGCTTTAACTGGTGAATCTCCAAGGAGAACCCAAGAAGTCAAGCTTGAGCTTTCCTCTCTGGAGATTATTGGTTTACAAAATCTGCTGTTAGCTGGAGTTGTCAAGGGACAGCAGGGCCCAACGAGGTTCCGCTCCAGTGCTCGGCCCTAACCACTGTAGCCCAGAAGGAATGCAAGAGGCAGGGACGTCCCCAGTTCGAGCCCAGCCTGGGCAACTTAGCGACTTAGTGAGACCCTGCCTCAAAATAAAAAGTCCAAGAGGTGCGAGGATGCAAGAGACCTTGGTTCAACTCCCAGTACAGAGAGAGACTGAGATATCTGAGAGTTTGCAACTTCCTTGGTTGTCTTTTTTGCTGCGTTTGATGAAGTAGGGTGTCTGGTGCCTGAGGGTGAGACGTTGAGGTGGTAAGGCAGATGGTGACCTTGGAGACGTTGGCTGTCTTTCCTTGAAAAAGCCCAGGTCCTGTGGACGTGAGGGCCCGGGTGAGTGCAGCGCTGGCCTGCTGGAGTCCCTCTGACCAGCGGCCCATGCTCAGCAGAAAGTGGGGAGGAAACACAGGTACAGCAAGGGCCAAGCACTTTCCAGCCCAAGGGGCTTCTTAAAGACTTGCAGTAGCCTCCCCACAAACCACTCTCGAGAGCCCACTGCTGCCCAGGCTGGATCAGAACGGGTGTTTTCCCATCAAAGGGCCAGCACCCTGGGATGTCCTGGCACTGCCTCCTCTGCCACATGCTGCTGTCATGATGCCCTGTGTCACCACGGGACCTGAGCCACCAGCCGGAGTCACCCTTGCCTGTGTTTCAGTGTCTGTCTCGGGCATTTTTCACGGCTGCAGAAAGCCAGCATGAGGGGCTGAGAACCCCGTGTAGCTTGTTTAGTCAGTGCAGTTAAGGAAAGGGAAACCTGTGAGGTTTGCGAGACGGGCCTGCTGTCCATCTTGAAGGCCACAGAGCAGTGAGAGTGTCGGCCGGGGCAGCACAGGAAGACCCAAGACCTGAGCCCTGCGCGACCGCACCTCCTTCCCCGGTGTGGTCCACAACCCCCATCCCTAAGAACAACCCTCATCGGGGCATGGAGGAGGGGCCACCCCCCGCCTGCACCTGCCCGCACAGCGCCCGTGGTACGGGGTTGGGGGAGCTGGGCTGTCAAGAGCGGGGGGCCCTTGCAGCACTTGGGGCTCCATGGAAGCCGCTGTGCTATGTGGGTTTTACTCAGACTCTGGGGCTGTGGCTGCAGCCACTGGAGGACCTGCACCTTCCTGAAAGGTCCCTCGGCTTTCAGGTTCCATCCAGAGGGAGCCGTGGTCAGCAAGCTGCACACAGCCTGTGTCTGTGACAAGCTCCCAGGAGATGCCGGCGTGGGTAGGTTGGCTCGTGTGCCTTAGGACTGTGCTCGTCTCCTTGAAGTCTTGGGAGAACTCGCCTGTGTGTTCTCACCTTCCCATTGCTGGGACAGACTATCCACCAGCCGCAGCTTGACAGAGGAGAGGGTTATCTTGGCTCACAGGTGCAGAGGGTTCAGTTTATGATCCGCTGGATCCAACACAGGAACAACATGGCGCAAGGGCAGAGGGAAGCAGCTCACCCCCGGCACTGAAGCAGAGAAAGGAGCAGAGGACAAGAGTTCACCCTTCCAGTGACCACCTCAACCAGGCCCACCTCCTGCAGCACATCCAGCTGTGAACTCACTAGTGGAGCTCCTGCCTGATCCAAGCACCTTCACTTTCAGGGGACATTTTAGATCTAAACCATAACAGCCCGTTCCCTGAACACAGTTCTCAGTATACACACAGAGGATGGCGTCTGACCAGAATACCTAGCCTGAGCATGGGACCCAGGGCCCGTAGCCCCAGCCCCTGTGGGCCAGCCTCTTGTCAGGAGTTCTGCAGGTTGGCTATGAACTGTGAGGGCTGCGTGGAAAGGCTCCTGGTTCTTTCTGGGGACTGTGTTATTGGCAGATGAGTCTGAACCCAACAGCTGTTCGAGAAACTGGTCTCCAACTGCTTTTAAAACTGTGTGACCTCACCCCCAAGGGGCAGGCCCTGGTCTGGGCCTAGTCCTTGGCTTCAGTGACCAGGAACCAGAACACCAGGATCTGTCCCCAAACTGCTGCTAATGGGAAGGAAACAAGACCTTTGAAGGAGCCTGAATATCAGTGGCCACCCTGTGTGACCTCTCATGGGGTCCAGGCCCCATGCCTGAGGGCCCAGACCATTGGTGCAGAGCTGCATAATGGACAGAGCCCTTGAAGATGGCCCCGAGGTAGTTAGACTTCTGTCAACATGAGGGGCTGAGAACCCCGTGTAGCTTGTTTAGTCAGTGCAGTTGATGAAAGGGAAACCTGTGAGGTAGTGTGCTAACTTGTTATCTAAGTGAAGCTGATAGGTTCAGCAGTCACCTGGCATTTGTACCAGAGACAGCAGTGAAACGACTTCAACCCAGACCTCCAGGCAGCTGCATGCAGAGCTAGCAAGATTCCTTTCCACCCATGCTCGGGGAATCCAGGGAAGAAGCCAGGAGCCAGACAGTACAGAAAGTGAAGCAATGACGACAGCCAGGATCCCAGCCAGACCAGGACACAGATGTCCACATGGCACCCACGCCTCACCAGCCCCACCCCGGCGAGGGCTCTGCGGGTTCTGATGTCTTTGCTACAGCGGCTTCAGAACTGGTGTTTGGGGCCAGTCCACAGTCACTGTGTGCAGCTTGTAGTCATCTGAGGTACATCTTTAGGGTAGCTTTTTCCCTTTCCCTTAAGGCCAGCATAGTGATACTGGCTACTCAGTTATTTGGAGAATTAGAGCTAGTTTTACTTTCTTCACACTTTTGAGTGTAACCCAGATTTTCTACAATGGACATGATTTATCTGAATGAAAAATAGAGACAGAAACTTCATATATTATAAATTATATGGAACCAAATTCTGTGAGCCCTACAGATGCTCACATTGGTTACACGGATTGTAGAGAAATATTTAGGAGAGAGATACCTGATCTGCACTGTGCTCAGTTTTCCAGTGATAATTCAAAGGTACTTTATCTTTAGTCAATATTTTCACCAAAGATGTCTGTTAACAATATTTGCCAAATTTAAAAAATGGGATGACGTCAGTTAACAGCGGATTGGCTGTTGTGGAATACTGCACTTAGACTCCATCTGCATAGTCTAGAAAATTCCTCAAGAGGCTTGTCAACAGAGCCCACCCTGACTGTCCCATTAATATGAGATCCCGGCCCTTCTTCTGCTCATTTGCTGCTGTCCTTACCAGTAGCTGACGCCAGGGTCATTTCCCCGTTCGCATTGTCCAACGCAGAGCCAGAGTGCCGTTCTGTGAGGACGGGGTTGTTTTAACTTCCTTTTCAGGAAGAAGCTCGTGCCCTCCGCTCCGTGTCAGAACGTGCACTGGTACTAGCTCACCACGAGGTTAACAGCAGTCAGAGCTGGTCAGAAATGTTAGCACCTGCAAAACTGGGTCTCAGCGTTTCTCCAAGGCCGATGTCAGCCCCGGAGGACCCTGGCTGCCCAGCCAGCCGCCCTTGTTCTATGCAGTCTCAACTAAGTGCACCTGGTGCCAAGGCACAGCGTGGCTGTGACTCAGTGAGTCATTTGTGGAAACACTGCAGTGTCCTGAGGCTTTCTGGTCGTGCTTGGTTCCTGACCCCCACTAAACATGCCCCACGACTTCCCGCCTACCACGAACTGCCCTCTCCTCACACCCCAGGTCCTCAGCGCCAGCCAGTGGCGGAGACCTGCTCCCCTGGTGCCGTCTCGTCCTTTCTCAGCCACCACACTCGTCCGTGACCCAGGGCTCTGCTTGCATGGCAGATTTGCACAAAGACTACTCTCATCACTGATTCCCTCTGTCCCCAAGGTCCCCGGGGCCAAGTCTCTGCGTTGGAACCCAAGCTGCAGCTAAGTGCATCGACACAACCGGGCCATTGTGAGCTGCAGTCAGCAGGAGAGGGCGGGCCAGGCTGACTCACAGGCCACCTGCCAGCCAGCCCCGGGGCCTCTGAGGGGCCCCGTTTCTGGGACATACCCCCATCTCATCCAGACCCCTGGTCGGAGCCCCTGCTGGGAGACACTAGGGGTGCTTCTTGCTGTGTCCTGCTGTCCTGTGCTGCATTTCCCCTCCTTGACGTTTCTCTACCCAGGCAAAGGCCCAGAGACGGGGCCCTGCCCAGGGCAGCCCAGCCGCGCCGGTTCTGGAGCCACAGCCAGGCCCC